TGACGTGGGCGGGCTGGAAGGAGCGAAGAGCCACGAGGTGGGGGTGAGGGAAAGTCGCAGGTCTGAGGCGGGGAGAGGAGACGCGGAGTCCCCCTCCAGGGGAGTAGAGGAGTGGATGTGCGGGGCGTGGCAGGTAGGGGTGCCGAGTGGTAGGCTGGGCGGTCGTGAGCCCGGAGTCAGGCCGCAGCGTGGTGGGGTGGCGTGGACACAGTGTCGCGTTCACTGGAGTCGAGGTGTCGACAGAGCAGTAGAGGGTGGCGTTGCGCGTAACGAGTGAAGGGAGGTGGAGTCACTGTCTGGGACGCAGGAGGGGCTGTGTAGGGACTGCGGGAAAGTGGGTCACTGACCGTGACCGGGCCTTGGATGTGGCCGCAGTGAGGTGGAGGGACCGCAGTCAGGGACCCAAGAGGCAGGGTGCAGGAAGCACGGCCTCTGCCAAGACGAAGGAGCGGGCCGGTGCCTTCGTGGTGGGATGGGAGCTGAGCTCCGGGACACGGTAGCCCGACAGCAGCGGGCGTGGCGTGTGACTCCCCTGACGACGTGAGCTCCCACGCCGGGCTCGGAAACAGCACTGACGGCCGCGAAGGACCCCGCCCTCCCGCGGGAGGAAGGTGGCCCGTCCCTGGGAGCGTTCTGCTTCCCTTTGAGCAATGGCGGGGAGGGCTGAGGCCACCGTGCGTTCTGCTGATGCTGAGCTTGGAATCCCAGAGTTCCAGAAGTTGGGGAAAGAAGCCCAAGATAGGACTTGATGTGTGGGAGGAGGCCAGCGGCCTGAGGTGTCTGAGACTGTGCTGTGCCCTTGGAGCGATGTCGGTGTTAGTGACGGGGGCAGGCTGGCCTAGGGCGTGGGGTCCGCGTTATGGGAGACTGCTCTTGTTTCATACGCCAGGGAGGCAGAGTCCAAGCCTGTCCCTGACCCCCAACCGACCCTCCGCCCGCCCCCACCTTATATTGGGATCTCTCGGCGACTTCCGCCCGCGTTCTGCGCCCTCAAGGCACTGAAGCGCGGTGGCCCCCGTGCCTAGCGTGCCGCCCGCGGCTCCTCCGGCAGCTGCGCCCGTGGGAAGGGGGAGGACGGCTCAGTAACGGAGCCCTTCCCACAGCGGCTTCCCAAGACAGGCAGCTGCCGTCGGTCTGATTTGTCGGAATGGTTCTCCTGAGGTCGCATCCGTTTTCGTGTATTTCCTCGTGTACGCTGAGCGCAGACCGGGCAGTTGGCAAGGTGCACAGATTCTCTTCAGCCTGATAAAAATCGCTAGTGTGAGACGTGCAGACTGGGAAGCTCTAAGGAAACCCCAAGGTGTCTTCAGGTAGGAAAGTCGTGTGCCTCACGGTTAGCAGCCTGAAAGCGCAGGCCTCGCACCGCACGGCTCCTGATTCGGCAGATAGAAGGTCAGCTTTCTGACAGTAGTTTTTCAGCGCTCAGAACCAGCCGAAGAGTTTCCACGCGAAGCTGGGTGCCATAGAGCCGGCGTTCCTTCTCTTGAACGCACCTTCGATCCTGAGATACGCCCGCGTGGGGAGAGAGCAGAGACTGCTAGCTTGGCGTACCTGCAGAACACCGTCGAAGAATGGTCCGTTCAGTGTGAGCGAGTGAGCTTAAGTAGAAACCACGGCTCTTCCCGGAGGGCAAGGCCGTCCGCTGTGCGTGTGACGTAGACTAGCCCTGTGTTCACGGAGACTTAGGCCTTGGAAGGCACGTGAGAAAGTGACAGCGTAAGCACATCTTTTCCTCATGGTGCATATTCTCAAGGGTGAGGGGTGTTCCACCATATTATAATTAACCAGTTTTGATGGAAATTTAACTTGTTTTCCAGCCTTTACCCTATTAAAAACTGTTGTAATGAATCGAAAACTCAACCAGTTTAGTCAATAGAAAGAAAAAGGTTAAATATCAAATATTCCAAGTTCAGGGTTCTGCTGGCAGTGCAAGTTCTCAGTTATCTTGTGCTCATGGTGCAGAGGAAGGCAGCTGGTGGAAGTGACTGTCTGCTTTTGAGCCCCGGGGGACCACGGAGCTCCTGAGGGACACTTGGCAAACCAAGGCCTTCTCTCCACGCTGGGTTTCTGATCACGTGTTCTCAGATGTGCTCCTCTGTTAACTTTTATTCTTTTTCCCTTCTTTCTTTTTTGTTGCTTTTTACCGTTTACTAAAAAGAAAAAAAAAAGGACAACTAAAAAGAAGGCTTCTGTGTAAGGAATCTGTTAATTATAATCAGATTTCTCCCCAGAGATCGTTAAAGAGACTTAAATTTTTTAATCTTTTCACTGTATTGTAGGCATCTGGGTATCCGATAGGAATTGATGTTTAAATCCGAAGTTTAAAAATAAGTGGCACATAGGCTTGAAAGTGTGGGTACTTTGTATTTGGTACTTAATTTTAAAACCATTGTCTTTATGTTGTTTAATACGTAGTTTCTTCTTCACTTTCATTACAATCTTTTGAGGTCAGAGATACTCTAATTGTTTCTTCCTCCATTTCATAATCTAGTATTTTGCCCTAGAGAAATCGATTTATCCCCCAGTGCCTTGTAGGTGGCCGTATCGAGTTGGGGGCTGCATCCTATTTTACGTAAAGTCTCTCAAATTGACCTCCTCTCATTTTGAAGTTTTGACTCATTGGATTAGGCTTTCAAGGAGCAGAAGGACTTGAGCCATTTTGCATTTTATTGAAGTAAGTTTCTTTCTGTCACACACAATATAAATATAGATCTATTTATTTTCTAGAGAGATTGAGAGTGAGCAAGCAGGGGAGGGGCCTAGGGAGAGGGAGACAGAGGATCCGAAGCAGGCTCCAGGCTTCGTGCTGACAGCACAGAGCCTGATGTGGGGCTTGAACCCATGAACCGGGAGATCATGACCTGAGCCGAAGTCGGACGCTTAGTCGACTGAGCCACCCAGGTGACCCCACACTATTACTTTAAATTGGACCTGTGGAAGTATGACCCTCATCATAAGTCTTAATATATAGAGTTTCTTGAGTATTTATAGTAAATAAAATTGATTTTAGCGTTCCAATTCTAAAGTCACCGGAAAAGTGTATTTCTCATGTACCAGACGTTTCTTAAACTAAAAATATGGTATGTGATGTTACTGTTACTACCATTATTTTCTCTGTGTCCTCATGTAGCCACTTGTTCCGTGTGTGTGTCTGTGGTCTGTCCTCTTATAAGGACACCAGTCATACGGATCCAGGCCCACCCACATGACCTCGTTTTTCCTTAATCCCCTCTTTAAAGGCCCCTTGCCCAGACGAGGTCCCGTTGGGGGTACTAGGGACAGAGACTTCGGCATATGCCTTTGGGGAGGGGGCACAACTCAGCCCATGACAGCTGACAGCCCGAGAGCTTACTAGACGTATCTGGCTGCACATTTTAATGAAAAATGCAGCACACTACCCTGTGGCAGTCCCTGCTCGGGCGGTGTTTCTTTTTCCCCCTTCAAAATCAGGTTCAGTGTAACATACCTTTTAAATAGTGTAAACATATCTGATTTAGCCCCAGGGTATAACACGTGGCTTCTTCCCTTCTATGAAATGTCTGTTTGAGAATTATGTGATTTCATGTTCTTCTGGTAGATCTGTTGGAGTGTTCTGCTTGTTTAAAAACACAAACCAAAAACAAACAAAATCTTGGCATAGCAGATTGTTTAATAGATTGTTCTTTGTAACAGTACCATGGGTATGTGTGTTTTCCTTTCTCTGCCTCCCTCCCCTCCCTCCCTCCCTCCCTCCCTCCCTCCCTCCCTCCCTCCCTCCCTCCCTCCCTCTTTTTCATGATTCTAGAGGATTTAGATTTGAATTTGTATTTGATTGGAGTCAGAAAGTGTAATTGGATTAGATAGTGTGGATAACTTGGATATGGATGTGAAACACAAAAGCCGTTTTTTATTTTAGAGGAGTAATCTCTTCTCTCATTGCAAAACATTTTAATTCTAAATAGAAATTCCCTGTTGAAATTGAAGCTTCTGCATATGCTGTTGTACGGGGACAAGCGTCCTGCTTTCTCTTTCCCTTTTATGGGCTTGTAAAACACTAAGCACTTAGCTTAAGTGTAAACTTCATATGTTACATGTAATTGACGCATGATGCATGTTTTATACTAGACTTGGTGTATTTCTTTTTTGGTGGGTTTGTGAAGTGAACCATGTTTGTAACAAAAGGTGTTTTTCCACAGTGCCCTTGCTGCCAGTTCCCAGCCAGCCGAGACCTGCTGTGGGGCCGCAGAGATTCCCTGTGAGTAGCAGCTGCTCCTCCTGGTCTGAGGGGGGGGGTGAGCATGCGTTTACTAAGAGATACTAATGCAGCAAATACAGGTGGTTCCAACCAAAATAAGGGTCGAGGTTTGTAAATACTGACAATGGTTTTTGTAGTGGGAAATGTTTGTTAACAGCTTACACGCCAATGGATTTCTGAGAATGGAATTAATTTGGTTTAACTGTAAAATTGTTGAATTAGGATCATCATGCAAAGCTTTTCATGTTAAAGAGTACGCATTTTGATTTCATTATTGCCTTGTGTTCAGTGAGAAAGGGCCTCGAGTGTGTGTGTGCACACATACACGTGCATGCACACACGTGTGAAGTTGTGTACGTGTGGGCACGTGTGTGAGATTCTAGGGAGTACTCATGAGAACTCTGCTTGTTTAAAAAAAACCCCAAATCTCAAAAGTCTTCATGAACTATTGGTTTTATATTTTAAAATGAAGGTTTTTCTCTTTCAACTTTCTTTAAAAGAACACACACATTCTCCCACTCCACGCTTTGCAGTGTGCTTTCCTTGCTTATCCTAACCAGAAGAATAACGTCCATTAAATAATGTATCTGTTTAAGTAAATTGTTCTATCTGAGTTTTGGATTAGAGTTGTCGTTAGTTCTTGGTTTCATTAAATCAAGGAAGATATGTTCTTTGTAAAACCAATGTCGAAGAAAAATGGACTGGACCATAAAATTTTAATATCGTTTGTGTGTAAAACAGATGTAGTTTTGTTGAGACTAAATCTGATTTTCAGGAAATATCTAAAAGATGTATTTGACTCTACCTTTGATACTTAAGTAGATAGCATGTTTATAGAAGGCACTTAACAGAAAGGTTTTAATGAAGGTTCTAGGTGTATAGGCAGATGATTATTCAAAAATACAATCCGTAGTTAAGATTCAGAGTATTTTTTAGAAACCTCTTTGATTTGTAGTTTTTTATGAATTATGGCATGGTTTCTGTAACTGATTCTTACTGGTTTTATTCCCTTATATTAACTAATTTTTCCTTTAAGTGACTCATAACGTTCTAAAAGCTAGTGAAAAA